TGCCCTTTCTGTGGACTACATTGGTTGAGCACTTTCAAAAGCAGCAAGTTAAGGGCAGCCAAGCTAGTTCACCCTTTCTCCAGTCTCCCATTTCCTCACTCTCCCTATCCTTCTCTGTTTCTCCACTCAGCCCTGCTCCAGAGTCTTGGAAGAACTACACAGGACTCTACTTAGACTAGTCCCATGGTTCTTGGTAGGGGAGGGCAGAAGTAAGGGGCAAATGCCAGCGCAGCTAAGCCAGAGGAGGGTAAATAAGGCATACGACTTGTTATACCAGGTGCTCTCAGTTTTCATTCTGCAAAGCCAAAAGATGCCACAAAGTTCTTCCTTTTACAAAACGTGTTACTCTCCATTATCAGCTGGTACTAGCTGGAAGTCACTCCTGTTTCCTATTGCTGTGAGACCCATATGGCTAGAACCCCACAAATCACTCAGTAAGTTCATTTTTATTAGCAGCTTCTGCTTAATTAAGGGATGCACCATGTTCCATCAATCAGTTTCTATGCATTCAAGTCAGTTGCAGTCACCACTGCTAATAGATGTAGTTCTTGTACTTTAGGAAAATAAAAGATCTGGGACAGACTGGCTCCAAAAGTCAAGGGGGGCAACGTCTGTCACTGGAGCACTGCTGCGGCAATTCCTTCAAACATGAGACTAGCTATAGACACAAGTAATAGATGCTGCCTTGAGTGTCTCTACCCCAAGAGATAGGAGCTTTGATTCATTGGACCAGATGCCTGTTAGACAGGTACTACCCTAACATATTAATATCAGGCAGTAAATTGTATATAATTGTTTTTCATTGTTTAGAAAGTACAGAATGCAAGATGTATAGATTATAGAGGCAACCATGTCAGAAACAGGAATAAGATTGGTATATATTTTAAACTCTTTTGCCCCCATTATATTTCTCTATTCAGTGTTAGGCTTTACGTTGGAACTACTATTTAATCACACGCTTTGCTTGAGTTGGTTTCCAAAACTTTCAAAGTGTAGTCTGTCTTCACTATTTATGAATTTCATATATACTGAAATCTATTTGCAACCTCAACATCAATACTTCTAGCATTTTCACCATCATTGGAGGACATGTTCTGAGTGGAGACAAACTGAAGTTGTTCCAGCTGTTCTTTCCAGGTGAGGTCTAGGTCTAGAGGATTAGGAAAGGTCTCTGAGAATGTAGATGCCTATCATCTGAGACCCTGCTTTGGAGATGACAGCGATCAGTAGGCCATAGTTCACCTGGTCCACAAATACAAGGGAGGAAGAACAGCAATGAAGGGAGGGCGGTGCATCAGACACTGGCACTCCGCACGAGTGTCAGCTGGGGTGTTAGCCAAGGAGCAAATGTCTGTGTTGGGTGAAGCTCTGCCTTCTTTCAGACAGGCACTGTGATGTGATGTTAGGCTGCTATTGACTTTCTGATGATATGCCAGAAAGAGGATTATCTACTTTGGATGATCCTGGATCATCAAGTCATGAAGAACCATGATGGTTTTCCAGACTGCAGTTGGCCATGGGTAACTGAAACCATAGAAAGCAAAAGAGTGGATAAGGGAGGACTACTGTACAAAATGAAGAGTGAACTTTTATATAGGGAATTTTTTAAAATAATCAACCAGAATCATGGGTTTTCAGAATAGAATGAAGACTACATTAAAGGAGTAACAAATGACTGGCATAATGAATGGGTAGGGGAAAAAGGAGCCAATCTTGGTAACTGTGGAAAAAATGGTGTTTGGAATAGACATTGTCAAGTCTGAAAGTAAAAACTGTGCATAAACACTGTATTCTAATTGGCAAATTTGTTTCTCACAGAGATATGGGTTATCAATTCTGAAACTCAGTTAAAAGTATGACACCAATGGGCCAGCAGATGGCATGGTGGTTAAGGCAATGGACTCCCTCATGGCTGACCATGGTTCAAGTACCAGACTTGGCAGCTTGATTTTTCACTTTCCCTTTCCCTCTCTCTGTCTCTCTCTGGTCTAACTAAAAATAATAATAATAATAATAATAATAACAAATAAAATTGGATAAATACAATAATTCTTTTAAGAAAATAAAATCAAAGTATGACACCACTATTAATTTGTTAGTACTGACAAAAACACAGTTGGAAAAACTGGTGATATGGAAACTCTGCCATCTTGGTAACATTTTTGTAAATGTAAAATTGTTCCAAAATAAAGATTTGAAACAAATTAACATATACATGCAATATATACTTGCATATGTATATACATATATAAATTGCATAAGTGTTATTACAAATAATTTGTTTTTTAGTCACAATAGAGAAGTGGTGGTATAATGCCTTAAGGGATCAGAAAAAGGGGAGAAAGGAATCAGTGCTGTCCTTGCAATATACAAACTTTACTTTTCAAAGCCTACTTACTTGTCCCAGGCCTTAGATTTTATAGAAGAAAATAAGAAAATTTAAAGGAAGATAAAGAATAAAAAAAATATAGAAGAAATAGCAAATGAAAATATAAATATAATTAAAATTTTCAGAAATGTACAAACTGTAGGTAATTTTTCCTACCAGACCCGATTATCAATATGGTTTAGAAAGATGGAAGAAAAATGAGGTCAACAAAACCATAGAATGCACAGGTGGTTCGCAATCTGTCTGGGGTCTCCAACTCTGTACTTCTTAAGACAACAACTACATTGTCACCCATTGAGAAAATTGTTGGGTGATACACACAATTATATATACATAACTATTTCACTGAATAAGACAATTTATGGCATACAATCACAAGGAAATTTCTATCTCTCATTCTCCCTGTAAATGTATCCCATTGGTCTAGATTTTTTTGTTTTTGGGTGAGGATGAAAGCAAGTCTCATGACTTTTTTATTCATGCTTAGATATTGAAAATTGCTATTTCACTTCACAAAAAAACATAATTTTATTTCAATAAGTAAAGTGTCTCATTCCATGTAGTAGTTAAAACTTAGGATTGAGATGTCCTCTCTTCCCTATGCCGGGCCTTCTCTAGATAATTTCCTATTTCTTTCTTCCTGTAGCTATTCTCCTCCTCTTGTATCTTGCTAACTACAGTGTCTGATCCTTCTCATTTCACAGATAGGGATGAAAAAGAAAGAGGAACAAAATCTTCACTTGACTGTTACTGTTGGGTAGTATAGCTTAATGTTCTTGGATTTCGTACATTCCCCAGATGACCCTTTCTATTTTGGGATCTTTGATTAATTTTTTTTTCTAGTGACCTAAAATCATAAATAATCCCTCAGTAACCCTGAGTACAACCATATTCTGGCTGATCTTCTGTGACTTGTATAGCCACTAGTCATCAGGCAGTTAATTCTACCTTGTTTCTCTTGAGGGTCTTCTGGCCTTTCCAGGTGTTTTTCTAGACTGAGATCTTTGAAAATTCTGTATTAATTCCATATCATAAACTATCCCCATTCAATTTACAGAAAACACTCAGACATAGCTTGCAGTAAAAATTCCAGAAGCACAATTATTTGCACACCACAGTCTTCAACATTGCTATCCGTTGCTATCTTAGCCAGCATATCGTTCTCAGGAATGACTCATACAACATTCCACTGTGACCCAATACTATATAAGTTATAAAGTTATTTCTCCAAGGTGTTTTTGAACGTCCTTTTTTCTTTGCTGGAGGTGAAAGAGGAACCCTTCATCTTTCTCTATGGTGGACAGTATTCACAGAGTACCAGCAATTCTTTTCTGAAATGTGTCCCTACAAATCCTCTTCTAATCTCCTGCACCTAGCCCTTTTATACACTCCATGTGAATGAGATTTAGGGGTTATGGAAAGAATTCTTAGCCACCTACTGTAAATTTTTTTTTCTTTTTCTTTTCTTTTGAGAGATTTTTGCTACAAGATATGTGCACTTTCCAGAAAGACAGAGAGAGACAGAGAAACAGAAAAGGAGAAATCACCTCCTAGGGGGATGGCCATGCTGCAGTCCTTTCTCCTCCAATCACCTCTTAGGATTTCATGCACTCACTCACACATACCTAGTGTGATTTTTATGCGACCCAGTCTGGGACTCAAAGCGTGGTCGACTATGTCAGAGTCCAGTAACATAACCATTACACCATCTGCTGGTCCCAAATATTTTTTATCTTATTCTAACACTGCATATACCTCAACCAAAATTCTAGTTTGTCTTACTACTTAAAAAATGTCCTTTTCTGGGATATGTTTGAGCTGCTTCTCACAATTTCAGTTAATTGATAAAGTAATTGGTGTACTTATCTCCCAGAGTATAAGCTAGTTTAGATCAGAATGGCCGGTTGTTTTGTTTTTAAAATTACAAGCAAAAATGTGTAGACATTTTCAAGGCAAAGTCAGTGATAATATCACTTGAAGAAACAGCAAAAAATAAAAGAAAAAAATTATAGAGAATCTGCAAGGAATAACACAAGCATGATCAGGGTTAAAATTTGACTTTGGTATATTTGGCACACATACCGATAATAATATGGCCACTTACTCCAATCTTCTTCCATATTGAGTGGTGCTAAGCCCTCTTCAAGACAGAACAACACGAAGAGGCCTGTTGGGAAAACTGTTCAGTGGAGTCCAACACAGTTCACTTGAGAGGAAAATCAAATTTTCTTCCAGTCCTCAAGCAGTGAAAAGGTGACACATTAACCCCCTGCATCCTTTCAATAATGTGGGAAGTAAATCTAAGCAACGTCGTGCAATGAATGTGAGGCTACATCGTCAAAAATACACAGGTCGACATTTTCCCCTGACATTTTTTCACAGTCGTTTTATCCTCTGCGCATTTTATTATGGTGATGGCTATTAAAGGGTCTCAAACACTACATGGAAAATGTGAAAAATGGCAACCAAACATTGAGCCTATATTTTCTGTAAAATAAAGTACTATTATATGAATATTATTATATACATTCATTATCACAATAAGTAGAGAAAAGTAGTTTTACATCAGAAGTAAATATTTGTGACTTTTTCCTCCCATTTATTTTTACAGAGATTTCCTTCCTAAAGGACTGTATTAAGAAGTTTTGTGACTTTTGCAAGAGAATATATAGATGGTGTGATGTAGCCTTAAGCTTCCTCCACTTGCCACTCTGTGAATTGAGCTGGGTTATGTCATTTCCTCTCATGCCTATAACGCAGCCTTAAGAATAATGACCCTGCAATGTGGCTCTGCTGAAAATGGCTTTTCCTGTGCCAGAAAAAGATGATTCATACTTGGCTTAGGAGCCATTTCTGGAAACTGCCAGAACAAAGGACAGAGGTAATTCACTAAGGGACTCCATCATCATTCAATCCAATTTGGAAATGATGGCATATCACGAAATACAAACATTTTCATTAATATATTTACACACACACACACACACACACACACACACACAGGTGTGTATGCTATGTACGCATCAGCGTGAAAGTATTTATAATGCAGATGTCTTAACACATGCACATATCGTGAGGATATTTATTTCAGGACAGAGATATATCAAGTTGGGTGCTGCAGGTATTCTCATTTCTTATTTAATGATGTAGTCTAAATTAAGTTAGTAATCTACAGTGACCCTGATCTAAAAAGAGCTTGTTTGAAATTGTAAGTCTGCCATCATACATTTTCTTGTTCCTAGGAATTACTAAGAAAGGAAAAAAAAAAAAGAGAAAGATCTGTGTGGTTGTCTTGTCCACTTCTACTGCCTGCTGCCAAAGTTCGAGAAGGATCTGTCCACTCGTGTCAATACTTCCGGTGGCAGGGCTTTCCACCATTCCTGTATCCTCAGAGACCTTGTTAGGAAATTTGTCTCCACAGCCTAGGAGAATGCCTTCTTGCCAGTGTCTTACACACCTCATGTGACCACCCAGTTATCATATTCCTCCTTGGCTATGTGTCAAGCTGCACATTTATTTTTCTTAATCTTTTCTCAAAAATCAATTCTCTGAGTCCCTTAATCATTTTTATTGATCTCTGTTGAATTTTCTCTAATACGATGGCACCTATCTACTTCAGAAGTACAGGCATTTATTTTCTACTTTGCTCATCTTCACCACTCAACGCTCCGCTTTGGCCGGGTACCACACAGTCCACGCACGGAGGCTGCCGCTGACTTTTGTTTCATTGAACATCCACTTCCCACCTGTTCTGTGAGACTCAAAATACATTATAATGGAAACCTAACAGCTTGCTTCTTGCCTTTGTTTGTTGGTGTCTCCTGCTATTTTTTCCCCCTCTGAATCAGATTCTGCTTCAAACACGGCTTAACATTTCTAAGTGTCTGGTGTGGTATCCTGGTCACATCTCTCTGAATTTCTACTTGTTTATTCACTTCTCTCCTTCCAATCTCTTTACTAAACCTGCTTTGCAGCTCTGCTGAAAATTGGAAGACTGTCTTAGGAGAAAGGTAAAATACAGATATTCTTTTTCAAATCAGGAATGTCTTATTTCAAAAAGGTGGCAAGCTTGCAATACATGCAAATAATTTATCTGATAAGCAATAAAGAAAACTTGGGCAGTAACCCAAGAGTCCCCTGTTTATTATTAGGCCTGGAGAAGGGATATCATAACAATAAGACACACTGGTAGGGGTGAGGTTGACGGTAGGCTGTACTTGATAATGATTGCTACCATTCGTGTGTGCTTACAAGGTCCTTGCTGCCAGTCTAAGGCTTTTTTGTATATCTCTTTTCAACTTAAAGAAAATATCTGTGAAAGACACCGTTATAATGAACAGCTTTATAGATGTAGAAACTAAGACCCAGAAACGCTAAAAGCAGGCTCCACGTCAGTCTAGTTAGTAAGTTAGTGGAACACAAGATTCACACACAGGCAGTCTGCTGAGGAAACAGTAAATCTAATAATTTCTTAAGTGTCAGAAATAAATCTGTATTTGTAAAACTCTCACCTTGATCAGCAGAAATACAAGCATAAAACTTTAAGAGGAGCCAGCAAATAGTGTGGTGGTTAAGGTGCTGGGCTTCTATATGGCCTATTGCAGATCCAGTCCCATACCTGGTGGCTCACTTTCTCACTTTTGCTCTCTGTCTCTCAGTCTCTCTTTGGTGAACACATGTGCCTTATAGCAAACTTAAAATAATAATAATAATAAATTAAATAAATAAATAAATTTAAGATATCTTCTGTTGGTTAAGAATTATTTATTTTATTTATTATTATGTTTTAAAATTTGGTATAAGACATTTGTGCTCACCAGAGAGACAGAGACAGAAACAGACAGAGAGATGGAAAGTGAGAGAGCAAGCCACAAGGTCTGGGAATCGAACCACAGTCGGCTATATGGGAGTCCAGCATCTTAACCACCATGCCATCTGCTGGCCCAATAAATAAACAACTTTTTTAAAAAGCTCTCTTTGAGAGTCAAGGTGTCAATGCTATTACATCAACGAAGGATTATTCCGGATAATAGACAAGCCTGGTGGAAAATTTTGCTAGTTTTATGTGATTTTGAAAAAAGATTTTCTTCAATTAACTTTTTACTAGTAAACAAACAAAAAAATAACTTAGTACTGTATTGAGGCCTTTTTAAAAATTCTTTGCACGAAGAATGACAGATCGCCTCTCATCCGAAAGATAATTTTATAAACTATCTCAGATCCTAAAATCTTTTCTTTGGTAATATTACTTTATATATATATTTCAAGCTTTCTTTCTTTTGTGTGAATCCACCTTAGAAGAAGGGCAAGATTTTACCTGGGATGGATTAATCCAGAAGGAAAGGCAATCGATCATTAGGTTCTTCTCAACCTGCAATATCCCTTTGGCCTTCGCTAGAAAAGAAAGAGCAAATCTTCATCCCCTGTTTGTAAGAGAGGCCAGCTCAGCTAAGCTAAAATCAAATCCATATTAATCAAATCTCCCCGTTTGGATCACTTATTATGTAAAAATGAAAAGTAGTATTTCAAGGGGATTCAATTTATGTTCCAAGGGCCTTAAGAACCATTCTTAAAATATGAACGATTCCTGCAATGAATTATTAGTGGCAACCTCTGGTCAGGTCTCTTAGAACTGTTCCAAGGAACTAAAGATGAATTTCCCATTTCTCATTCCCAGAGTTTAGAGGCCTACAAGAATGAGTTTTTTAATCTATGACTTACTGCCTGTTACTAAGTGATTCTGGCTGTGTCAATAAATTTGTTCACAGCTCTAATTGTGTTAATGAATTGAACATAATTAAACTTACAACATGTCATGAGTTTCTTCTGGCAGAACTCTGTAGATTTTTCAAAAAAGATCTCAGCAGG